GCTCCAGCGGGGATGAGAATACCTTTTGGTAAAGCAAGGCTGTGTGAAATTAAATGGAAACTCCATGTCTACTCATATGATTGTGGGAAAATTAATCTACCAGTACCCTTCTCACCTTAAACGAAATAGGAGAATACATCTCATATATGTAATTTATTGGTGGTCTCAAAAACCTAATTATAAATGAATAACCTATGTTTAAGTGAGGAGGTGGGAATTTAACCATACGATCTATCATACTCAGTATCCAAAAGAGCCATAAAAAGCCGTGTAAATTTACTAATGTTGCACATGACAAACGGTCAGAATGGCGAGATTGGCTCCGTAGCATGTAAATGCGAAACTTAATCTAGCTTATAGTATAGTACCTAAATATGTAGTTTGAATCACCAAATTGCATATCTAGGTTGAAAAGCCGGACCACTAAGACTCCCATGTGAAATTCATATTGCTGTTAGGAAAGGAGGGTGTTATTGTTGATTTTAGAGTGCCTCTCATTTCAATTGAAGAAGCGAATGGAAAGCGTTCGTAAGTAGGTCGCCCCGGAAACTGAAGAAAGGTTGACTTGGAGTTGGACTGTAGATTTGTGCAAAAAGATCCTAGGCGCACCATTCTGCCTTCGTCCTTCGTGTGGCAGACATCATTAAAGCAGAACAGCATACTTTACAATAATTCACCAAGACATTATTATCTGCGTGATTTGGTGAATTATGAAATTGGTGACATGCTGTTCTGCTCTGATGACGTCTGTCACACGATGGACGTAAGCTCAGCAAAGCTTCATCAAAGTCAAAGGATGGTGCGTTGAAGAACTTTTGGTATTAATCTACAGTCCAGCGCCCAAGCAACCCCCCTTCAGCTTGAGGTGAGGCTGACTTACGAATGCCTTCCATTCGACTTTCCAAATGAAATGAAAGGTACACCAGCATCACTCTATAAATGGAGTCTTCAAAACCCAATTTTTCTACAGATCATGTCCTTCACCATTCCTATTTCTTTCTTGTTATGAAATTCACAATACACTAACATATACACACATACACTGCTGCGCAAAGTCACCCACTTCCTGCGTTAGTTACATCCTCGATGGACCCGGATATGCGCCAGACAGGACTTGCAAAAGCAACAGAATCTCAGGGCTGGCGTTGTTCGACTGACCTCGAGTCTCTCTTCCACCCTTGCTTGCGTCCGACGCGACACCTGATCACTCGGGTGACAGTCGGCCTGTTGGTTGCTGCGTAATTCGACACTATCCATTCCCTTCGCTTTTTATGCGCACTCTTTGTAGTTCATCTCTTCTCTCTTGTCCCTCCTCTTCTCTTTCACTCTTGCTTGATCCCTCTCCTACACTCTCCTCGAACTGGAGCTTCTAACCCTGGCGTTTGGTGTAACTTGGCTTTCATTTTGATCGATAAAGCCCGACACTTTTGCATCCCTCGCGTGCACATTTCCGCATACAAACGAAAAATGCACACATACTGAACATACACACCATCGTTATTCCACACACAATTCATATGAACTGCTTAAATGTGCACCAGCACGCGACACAAACTACCGCAGATGAGCATAATTGGAGGCACAATTACATCGGCAAAAGAAAATACGACTCAGAGCGTCCATTTAGCAGCGATAAATTTACAAAATTAAGCGTGCTGCTTTCAGCCATATACCAGTGAGCCAAAACATATTAGGAGACTAATAGCGCATGAAAATTCCGCTATCGCCTATTCATACAAAAGACAATTTTGAGTGATCATATATCTGCGGAAAGGAAGGTAAATAAGGCTAGAAAAAAGGAAACTTTTCAGTTTTCCTAGTAACCTGTCAGAGGAAAGGTGAGAACATTTGATTAACGCTTTACACCAAATGCCCCTCCTCGTTCTGCTTGTCCGTTGACATTTTTAGCACCAACCGATATTCGCAGCCAGACCCATCGGCACTTACGCAGACAAGGTCTTATTGCTTGTTTTTGAAAGATTAACCGTCATTAAGCGTTGCTTTATTATAGCAATGCCACATACAAAGAGTTTTTTATATGAGCCAGAGTTTCATTTTCAAGATAACTAGGCATACCGGCTTTGAGAATTATCCAGACATCGACTACTACCACAACTACTACTCCTCTTTACAACCGTTCTAATAGCTTCTGCATGTATAGCAC